GGTGAGTAGAGGTATGCCATCCACACTGTACCCGGACCAAAATACAGATGGGTAAAGCAATGTTGCTGTTATTTTAAACCACTGAGTCCTTTAGTAAGTGGAATAAGCCCTCTTCAGCATCACTTTCACACCATTATATCTATTCCACACTGTGGATCTTGCCTTATAGTCTGATCATGATGGTTTATCTACTCTACATGAAGCAAGGAATCTCATCTCGAATATTTCTCACATTCTTGCTGAAGAAGAGGTCTCAATACACAATCACCCTGGTGATCTCAAATGAACCACACAAAGACTTTCTTTGATCTCTCATCATGAGGCCCAGGTTTCTGGGGCTCAGGCACCTAAGGGCTTAAGGACTGGCTGATGAAACCACCGCCCCCCCCCCTCCCAACCCCCACCCTAACCAATGGATGAAAACTTACCAGAGGCTTTAATTAAAATCAAATTCGCAGTCCACTCTGACTCTAAAAATGTGGTTTGAGGCTTTCAGAGAAGGTTCACATGATAAGGGCAGAGTATGGGAGGGGACAACTCAGGGTTAAAATACCAGAAGGAAGCAGCAGCCACTCAGATCTGGGCAGTCTTCCTGGAGAGATGGTCCTGTTCTTGCTCCTGGTGGCCCTTCTTCTGTCCCCTACTGGGGAGGCAGGTGAGTGATGGTCCCACTCTCAGAGGCCCAGTCCCACCCCACATGGACGGACCTGCTCAGACAATACACTCATGCACAGCCTGGGCCTTGTCCATCTAAGAAAATTTCTGAACTCAGGAAAACCGTGATCCCATCTCCCCTCTTCAAACTTTGGCTCCTTGAACACAGCAGGCAGGCTGGAATCTTTCTTTCAGGGAAGATCATCGGGGGCCATGAGGCCAAGCCACACTCCCGTCCCTACATGGCATTTCTTCGGTTCAAGGTTTCAGGGAAACCTCACATATGTGGGGGTTTCCTTGTGCGTGAGGACTTCGTGCTGACAGCAGCTCACTGCCTGGGAAGGTGAGGAGCAGGGCCTGGGCCTCCATGCCGCTGTTGAGCCTCCCAGGGAACCCTCTTAGAGCTGTAGATCTGTGCACCCAGGTAACAGAGGAAGCTATTCAGAGGACAGGGGAGCACTGGGGAGAGAGGGACAGGTCAAGGCCAGTCGCGCATGGAGGGAAGGGACAATCAAACCTGGAACATAAGGAAGCCAAGGTTGTGGCCTGGAACCCACAGTGCAAATGTGAGAAATTCCTGTTTTCCTTCGAGACAGTCAAGCTTGTGCAGGACTGAACACCCTCCGTGGACTCCAGGAACTGCCACCCCGCCCAGGCTGCCAGGGAGCAGTTTAGAGATAGATGTTCAGCCCCAGGGCCCATCACCTAAATTTTGCCACACCCTCTCCCTGCCCCGCCCCAAGTTTTGCCCTGTCCCAAGCTGTGCTCTTTCCTCCTGGCTGCTGGGTCATTTCTCCTATGACACCCACCCCTCTCTCTGCTCTCTGTGCAGCTCAATCAATGTCACCCTGGGGGCCCACAACATCAGGGAACAAGAAAGGACCCAGCAGGTCATCCCCGTGTGGAGAACCTTCCCACACCCACGCTATAATATGATTGGGGTCAACGACATCATGTTACTGCAGGTGGGACACTGACTCCAGGACACTTCCTTCCTGGGCTCTGCATCCCCCATGACCTCAGTCCAGACCCTCCTCCTGTATGACCCCTTCTGTGGTCCCAGGGCTGTGAAGAAGGCAAGCCCACGACCGTCCTGCAGTCTCTGTGGGCCATCAGTAGGTAAGAGTGCCTTTCCTCTGCTTTCAGCTGACCAGGAAGGTGAAAGTGACCACTGCTGTGAGCCCCATCAGTCTGCCCAGGGACAGGGATACGGTGAATCCAGGCATGCTATGCAGTGTGGCTGGCTGGGGGCGTCTTGGCTTGGATATGTCCCACCCAAATAAACTACAGGAGGTAGAGCTTGAAGTCCAAAGGGCCAAGAAATGCACCTCTCGCTACAAATATTACAGAACCACCACCCAGATATGTGCAGGGGACGCGAGAAAGAAGAAGAGTTCCTTTAGGGTGAGATCCCCAGTACTATCCATGCAAAGCCTTGGTCTTTGGGTCTGGGGCCGTGGGAACGAGCTCTGTCCTGTGTCCCCAGCCTGTCCTCCTGTCCTGTCTCTGTCTGGTGTCCCTGGGGGATGGACATTGCCTCAAAGTCCCACATGGGCAGAGGCTTCCTGTGGGAGGAGGCGGATTGTCAGGCCCAGATTGAAACCTCAGGACCAACAAGAGCCTTATATCAGCCAGGGCCCCTAACAGAGACCACCCACCCCAGGGTGGCAGGGAGAACAGACCTGAAGAAGGTGAGCTCAGTCCTGCCCTCTCTGCCCACAGGGTGACTCCGGGGGCCCGCTTGTGTGTGATGATGTGGCCCAGGGCATTGTGTCCTATGGAAAAGAGGATGGGACACCTCCAAGGGTCTTCACCAGAATCTCAAGCTTTCTGCCTTGGATCCAAACAACAATGAAACAGTATGAACTTCAGGGATCAGACTGAGGTTTCTCCAGGCCTGATCTGTCCATCTTCCCTGGGATGGAGGCACTGGGCAAAGTGCTTAGAAGCTAGGCTGCCTGAAACTTAATAAACTTGCATCTCTGGAGCAGAAATCATGGATTCCTCCTTTACTTACCTAAACACATTCATTCAGCACCTGCCGTGTCTGACCTGTTTATAGTTCTGATCTGGTACTGGCTTCCGCCTCCAAGACACCACCCTGTTCCAACTCTGGAATAAAAACTCCTGCTGCACTGACAGCCAGCTCCCTCCAGTCACATGTCCCCAGGGCCAGCTCCCCTCCAGGCTGCCCGTGAGCTCCATCAGAGAAGGAGACCCCTCTCAGGAACATACGAACCTCTCTTGACAACCCTCGTGTCTCATCCATACTCCTTCTTCCTTGTCCACACCTACTCCCCTCCCCCCCATCCCAGTGCCCTGGGGGAAAACAAGAGGATCCAGATTTGGCAGGAGGGCCACATGAGGTTGAGGGTTGAGGCAGGGGGGCACTTGTCCACCCTAACAGAAATGGGGGAGTTTACAAAGGTGTAGCTCACCCCATGCAGTGTTCCCTCCCTGTGTCAGACAGGCAGAGCTCAGAAGCCTGAGAAAATTTCAGGAGGCCCTCAGTATTCCTAGGCCCAGCTTGAGTGCCTGTCACAGCCCTGCCTTGGAGTCCTGGGCTCAGGGCTCTGTGCAGCCTCTGGTGTCCTGAGGGCACATCCTCCTCCAGCCCCAAGTGACCTTTAGGGAGCTCTTCCACCTTGGGCTGAGTCAGCAGCTCCCCACCTTCATCATTCCCACGTGTGTTTGTGTATAAATATATTTATCTCCAAAGGAAACTCACTATAAAGAAAATCATTGGTTTCAAGGTATCCGAAAGTTTCAAAGAGTATCTATAGCCTATAGTTATTGGGTACATTTCTCCCTGTATTTTTTTTTTTAATAAATTGCTTAAGTTTTGATACAGGGTTCAGAAAAGCAACCTTAGTTTTAAGACATGCAGCTTAGAGAGGGCTTAAGAGAAGTGGTTTGCTGAACATTTGAATGCAGAGTAAGCTTCAAATTACACAATGTGTTCTGGTAGAAAGTAACACATACTCATCAAAAGATATTCCTCATAAATGGAACATATACAAAATGGTGCATGCAAGTATGCTAAGTTACTTCAGCTGTGTCCAATTCTTTGTGACACTATGGACTGTCGCCCTCCAGGCTCCTCTGCCCATTCATCACAGAAAGACAACTAAATACAGAACATATGGGTAAGAAAAGTAAACGAAGCACAGTTCCACAACCCCCAGGTCATCATTAAGGCTTAAGCATATTTCCTTCCACTGTTTTTCTATTTATTCATAAGATGCTCTTGCTTCAACTCACTTGGGATTGGGTTGTTTAGAGCTCCTCATGCCATCCTTCCCATTCCTCTTTCTTCTGTCCTCATACTGGTGAGAGTGTTGGGCGCATCTGCATGCTTAGGATGGCCTGACCCAGAGACATCTGAGACATGCCTGTCTGGATTCTGGACAGGGAATACTTAGTGGGGACTAAGTATTAGATGACTGGCATCTGTTTCCCCTTCACCACTCACCAGTCACCAGCATTTCTGGAGAGGAAGCCCCTCCTGAAAATCAAAAACACCCTGATTTGGGTGGGACAGCCCCCATGTGAGCTTGAGGGGTGCTGAATACCTCAGCACAACAAAATCATGTCCCTCATTGCCAAAGGACCCAGTGATGGTTTTTTTCTGGTTCAGTGAATATCAAGTTCAGGACTTTCGTTCAAAATTTTGGGATAAGAAAGGCTCTCTTTTTTACAGAATACTTATATTTAAACAGGAGATTCTAAATCCTCCAAAAATGTGAGGCTAGAACCCTGGCAAAATAGGAGATGGGTTTGAAGTTTGGGGTACTTGGATGAGTCCAGGTCTCTCTGTTCCTAAAGCAAGTCCAGTCTCTGCCTCACACTTGGCCCCAAGTAGAGCCCCACGCCATAGTCCTCACCCACGTGATCTCTACTCAGATTCTAGGTCTCCTCCGGCCCCCGAGCTTCTCAAGCACAGGAGCCATGTCTCTGTTATCCCTGCAGCTCACCTATCGGGTAACTCTTCATGCTTTCCCCAGAATCAAAGAAGACCCAAGAGGGGAGAAATGCAGACACTCTTGCTTCAGTCACTGAGGGCCTCTGGGGACCCAGCTCCTCCCCCGGCTGCACCCCAGCCTCCACTTTCTTGTTCTTCCTCTTGTTTGTGACTCAGCAGTGGGAGGGCAAGTGTGGTGACTGTCATTCTCACCTACCCCACAGCAGAGAACATGGTCATACATGGCGTGCTCACACTCAGCTGGGGTGATGCACAGCTCTGGGAGGTCTGTGGGGGTCCTGAGCCTCCCCTCCTTTCTTCCTCTATGCTTTGTGTCTGGAAGGAAGAAACCCCAGCAGCTCTGACTGGGCAGACCTTCTGAAAGATGCAGCCACTCCTGCTCCTGATGGCCTTTCTTCTGCCTCCTGGGTTGGGACATTTGAATGACCATCCCCATTCCTGACAGGCTAGCCCATCTCACTAAACCTCCCGCAGTCCTAGACTTTCTGCTCAGCTTCATTGCTGAACCAGCCCCCATCCCAACGAGACTACAAGTTCAATGCTGCATAGACATTCAGCAAGGATGAATGGTAGGAAGCAAGCTTTCACTAAAAGCCTTGTAGCTGTCAGCCTCTCTCTCACCACAGGTAAAGTGGGTTGTGCATTTGGTGGAGGATGTGAAGCTACAAAACACAAGTAAGAAAATTCCTCACTCCGGCCAGGAAAGGACAACTCAGACCAACCATCCACATTACAGGAGTTGTCAGTGGACCCAGCTTAAGAACCAGAGAAACTTGTCCGCTTCCCCCACCCTTCACTCCTGCCAGGAGAGGAGCCCAGGGTGTGATTGGTCAGAAATGGCTAGATGACAGCACCCTAAGCTCTGGGTGTCGTTACTCTTCCCCAGGCCCCAAGCAATTCCTTTTCTGCCCCAGTGTCTTTGGCAGGGTCCTCCCCCACCCCTGTGGTCTTAAATCCCACCAGTACTATCCCCACCATACCTCAGCCAAAAGCTAATTGGAAGCCATTCACACATGCAGTCAACAGATGTTTAGTGAGATCATGGGATGCATTATCCCCTAAGACATGAGGATTTTAGAAAACCCAACTCCATAATCTCATAGGTAGATTATTAGAAAATGGCACCAATCAAGATGTTAGCAGAGGCTCAGAGGGTCCAGGAGACTCCATGAGAATGAGGGCTCATCTGGGAGTCCCATCCATGATCTTCTGGGCTCCACCCTCTGGAAGGCAGTCTCGGACCCTTCCATATGTTTGTGGGAGTCAGGGCATGGAGAACAATACTGAGGTTTGGGCTTCAGAAAAGTATTTCCCACTGAAGTGAGACCCTGGGGGACTCTCCCCTAGTGTCTGTTGGGCACCGTTGACCCACCTTGACTGCCACTTTACCGAACCTCCCTTCTAACCATAGCCTCTCCCATCTCCCCATCTTTCAGCCTTTTCTTTCAGAGGAGATCATTGGGGGCCACGAGGCCAAGCCCCACTCCCGCCCCTACATGGCTTTGGTTCAGTTTCTGGGTGAGAAGACTTGGAAGAGGTGTGGTGGTGTCCTCATACAAAAGGACTTTGTTCTGACGGCTGCTCACTGCAGAGGGAGGTGAGGGGCAGTAGCCAGCCTACCCTTCCTGATGCCTGGACAGGGACCTGTCCTCTCCCCAGAGGCTGAGCCCAGGGGTACCCCTCCTTCACCTCAGGATCCTGGAAATCAGGACAAGAGCTCATGAAACAAGCCATCTTATGAGCAGGACTAGGGTGATGAAAGGCTGAGAAACAGGACAGGTAAGTTTTGAGGTCAGTGGGTCGGAGGTGAGAACAAGAGACAGGGTTGAGAAGGGCTGACCCACAATGGCCAAATAAAGCATCAGAGAAGGATGAGAGTGTGCAGTTAGAGCCAAACCCAAGCTCAGAGTCACCTCACAATATTGCTGAGAAAGCTCCCGGGAGCCCTGCCCTCATGTCACCGAGAAGCACAGGGCCCAGAGTCACTGAGCACCAGGACCGTCTGTCACCTCAATTCCCCCTCAGCGGCTGCCTGCCCTGGTGTCAGCTGCCAGTCACAGCTCCTGGGCTGTATCTCCAGTGACCCCATGATCCCCACACCCCTGCTCTGTCCTCCGTGCAGCTCAATGAGCGTCACCCTGGGGGCCCACAACATCAAACAGCAGGAGAGGCCCCAGCAGGTCATCCAGGTGAGGAGAGCCATCTGCCACCCAGACTATAATCCTAAGAACTTCTCCAACGACATCATGTTACTGCAAGCAAGGAAAATGCCCCACTGGCCCCGCCCTCCAGAGATCAGATCATTGCCCTCCCAGGATCTCCTGCCCCTTTCTTCCTTCCCATCCTGGCCACCTGACCAGTCTCAGGGGGAGAGGTGAGAGACGGGGTCCATGCAGCCTCATCATGGCATCCAGGCCAGAGGACCACTGCCTGAGCCAGAGTCTTGTCTCTTCCCACCAGCTGGAGAGAAAGGCCAAGCAGACGTCAGCTGTGAAGCCCCTTAGTCTGCCCAGGGCCAAGGCCCGGGTGAGACCAGGACAGGTGTGCAGTCTGGCTGGCTGGGGCCAGGTGGCCCTGGGCGCTCCAGCCGCCACCCTGCAGGAGGCAGAGCTGACGGTGCAGGAGGACCGGGTGTGCGAAACCCTCTACCCCAGCCACTGCAGCCGGGCCAGCCAGGTTTGTGTCGGGGACCCAAGGAAGGCGAAGACCGGCTTCAAGGTCAGTTTTCCCGCATCTAAGCACACAGACCCAGGAGGTATGCGCAGGGCAGAGTCCGTATCTTCATCCTCAGCTGAGAGCTTTGGCAGCCTGGTCCTTGAATCCAATGTTTTGCTTTTATTTCCGAGTGGGTCAAGAAGCATCAGTCATCCCACAGCTGTCTTATCACCAGAGTTTCCAGTAGAAAATTGACAGAAAGGTAGACTTGAGTCCAGCTGCTAGAAACAGTCAGAGTCAGTCTGGAGCCCCAGGACCGGGAGGTGACCAGGCCTCCCTGGGCCTGGGTCTTCCCCACGGCCCCTGACTGAGACCACCCAGCCCGGGCGGCAGGGAAGACAGAACCCCAAGGAGGCCTGCTCAGCCCTTATCTCTGCCCACAGGGTGACTCTGGTGGACCCCTCGTGTGTAAAAAAGTGGTCCATGGTACTTTCTCCTATGGAAAGATGAATGGGATACCTCCAGGAGTCTTCACCCAGGTCTCACACTTCCTGCCCTGGATAAAGAGAACAATGAAGCACCTCTACAAGAAGCTTGAGACTGACCTTTGTCTGCACTGACCATTGTCCTGGGGAAGCAGCAAGAATCCCACATGGATTGGCAGTGGGATCACATGGCCACAATAAATGGGATCTCTAAAGCGATGGTGACTGAATTCCTATTTATTCATGGAACCACCTCAATACATAACCAGGCTGCTCCAAGACACCCTCTGCGGTCAGTTCTGGGTTTTACTTCCTCCTTCCTCCCTCGCCCTCTGCTGCTAAGTCACTACATCGTGTCCACTCTTTGCAACCCCATGGACTGAGGCTGCCAGGCTCCTCTGTCCATGAGATTTTCCAGGCACAAACACTGGAGTGGGTTGCCATTTCTGTCTCCAGGGGATCTTCCTGACCCAGGGATCGAATCCACATCTCTTGCGTCTCCTGTTTGGCAGGAGAATTCTTTCCCACTAAGCCACCCTGGCCTTGCTCCTCCCTAAATTCCATGCTGTCTGTATAGAATCTCATTGTTTCCTCAATGAGAAGTCTTGAGAAAATGATTTGGTGCTTAGCCAAAGCAAGAAAATCTCTTTGGTGCTTACCTTCCGCCAGGGATGAATCTAAAGGACCATTTTGGGGGAGAGTTTGTTCACTAAAAAGGACAAACTCTCCCCCAAAATGGTCCTCTCTGGGTGTTAGAAATTTCTTACCTTCTCTAAGCCAAACACTGTCACCAACCCCTCGACAATTTAGCAAAGCACAGGTCAGAGGAAGGAGAATAACTCCATGCCACGGGCACACGGGTTCCTGTTTCCAGGGCATCTCTCTCTCCTGTGAGGGCGGGCTGCTCCCACACCGGGACTGCCTACAGCTTAGGAGGCTGAGTGCCTGTCACAGCCCTGTCTTGGAATCATGGGCCCAGAGCCTGTGCAGCCTCTGGTGTCCTGAGGGTACATCCTCCTTCAGCCCCAAGTAACCTTGAGGGAGCTCTTCCACCTTGGCCTGAGCCAGCCTCTCCCACCTCCATCATCCCTACATGTGTGTATATTTATTTCTAAAGGAAAGTCATTTGATAAAAAATTTTTTGATTCAAGGTATCCTAATATTTCAAAGGTGCCCCTTACCTAATAGCTTATTGAATAATTTTTTCTCTTCTATTTTTCAATAATCTCCGAATTTCTTATAAGAATTGATCCAGGAAAGTAATTTCATTTTTAAAACATGCAGCTTGGAGAAGGCTGGGCTAAAGAGAAGTGGTTTGCTGGATGTTTGCATGGTGAGTGAACTTCGAACATGGCAAAAGAGAAGTGGTTTGCTGGACTGTTGCATGGTGAGTGAACTTTGACCATGGCAAAATATATTTTCCGTGTAAAAGCAACACATATAATCATATAAAGATAGCTAAATACAGGACATATAAATAAGAAATTTAAAACTGCCTACAATTTCACCACCCGCAGATCATCACCATCAATGGTTAAGCTTGTGTCCTGCTCTGTTTATTCATAAGATGCTCTTGCTACAACTCACTGGGGCTTGGCTTGTTTAGAACTCCTCATGTGATCTTTTCCTTTCCTCTTTCTTCTTTCTCATACTGGTAACAGTGCTGGAATCATCTGCACATGTTCAGGATGGCCTGGCCCAGAGACGTCAGAGACGTGATTCTCCACTCTGGACAGAGAATATTAGTGGGGAGTAATTATTAGGATGATCAGCATCACTTATGTCATCACCACACACCACTAACCAGCATTTTTGAGGGGAAGGCCCTCCCCGTCACAGGAACCCTGATTTGGATGGGACAGCCCCCAACTCAGCTCAACGGGTGCTGGATACCTCAGCACAGACGCCAGTCAGGTCACTGAATGCTGAAGGACCCGGTGATGGTGGTTTTGGTCCAATGAGTATGAAGTCCAAGACTTTAGTTCAACATAGTGGGATATGAAAATTTCTGTCACAAAATAATTAAATTTAAAGAGCTGATTGTAAGCACCACAACAATGTGAGACTGGAACCCTGGCAAGATAGGAAATGGGGTTGCTGTTTGGTTCACTTTGGTGAGTCCAGGTCTATCTGCTCCCAAACCAAGTTCAGCCACTTCCTCACCCTTGGCAACAAGCAGACCCCTCATCATAGTCCTCACCACTTGTTCTCTAGCCACCTATTCTAGGCCTTCCTCTGCCTCCTGTCAGCTTCACAGGGACAGCCGAATTTCTCATATCCCTGGACCTCCCTTACTGAGTAATTATTCATTATATTATCAGGATCATAAAAGTATCAAGTGTGGAGAAATGGAGATTCAATTACTAAGGGGCTCCTGGGGATCCAGCTCCTCTTGGTGTGATAGGGAAGAACTTTGATATTCTGTTAGCTAGTCACTAATGGTATATTGCCTATAACATTAATTATACATGATAGCACACCTTTGGGAACACTGGCTCCCAGGTAATGAGCACTAAGATAAAATACCTCTGTTTAGCTCACAGGAAACAAGCCCACTGATGAAAGACTGCAGGTCAGAAGAAATTAACACAACCGTCCTGAGGCTGACGGGAACCAGGAAATGTTTGAGTTTACTCCGTTCCCTTCTAGTATAAAAGTGGCCTGAATTCTAACTCAGTTTAGGTGGTTCTTTGAAACATGAGTCCACCATTTTCTTGGTCTGATATCTTTCTGAATAAAGTTGCTATTCCTTGTTTCAGCAACTCATCTCAGGATTTATTGGCCTGTTGCTTAGCAAGTAGTACAAGCTTGCACTAGGTAACACTGGCTGCACCACAGGCGTCACTTTCTTATTCCTTCTGCTGAGTCTTTGTGTGTGAGTGTGGTGACGGTGTCATTCTCTCCTAATCCAGGGCAGAGAAGGTGGACATCTGTAGCATGCTGACACCCGGCCAGAGGGCAGCACACCTCTGGGAGGTGTGTGGGCGCCCTGAGCCTCCCCTCCTTCCTTCCTCAATGCTTTGTGTCTGGAAGGAAGAAACCCCAGCAGCTGTAACTTGGACAGACTTTCTGGAAGATGCAGCTACTCCTGCTCCTGATGGCCTTTTTTCTGCCTCCTGGGCAGGGACCAGTGAGTGACCGCCCATTCCTGAGGGTGTAGCCCATCTCACTAAACGTTCCGCAGTCCTGACCCCTCTGTGCAGCTCTAATTTCTGAACCAGGTCCCATCCCAACGAAGAACACAAATTTGATGCCACATAGACACTCAGCAAGGAGAAGTGGCAGGCAAGCTGGAAGATTGTCACTAAGATCTTTCATGGGTCTCAGCCTCTCTCTCACCACCAGAAAAATGGGTTGTGCGTTTGGTAGAGGATGTGAAGCTACAAAACACACGTAAGTACAATTCCTCACACCAGCCAGGAAAACAACTCAGACAAACCAACCACAGTACGGGAGTTGTCAGTGGACCCAGCTTATGAACCAGTGCCTTCCACTCCTCACTCCTGTCCAGGATAGGAGGCAGGTGTCAGATTGATCGAAGGTGCTAGATGACAGCACCCAGAGCTCTGCAGGTGTCTTGGCTCTTTCCCAGGCCCCGAGCAGCTCACTTTCTGCCCCACCTCCCCCGCCTCTCAGGCCCTTGGTCCGCCACTGTCTGTGGCAGAGCCCTCCACCCACCCCGTGACCTGATATCCCAATAGCACTATCCCCAACAACTTCAGCCAAAAGCTAACGGGAGGCCACTTTTGCAGCCAAAGAACATTTTCTGAGATCCTGCATGTGTTATACCCTAGGACATGAGGATTTTAGAAAACTCACCTCTATAAGTTCCTCGTGCAAACTCACATTAATTTCACACTATTCCTGAGAAAGCTCCCAGAAGCCCTGCACTCATGTCATTGAAAAGCACAAGGCACAGCGTCACGCCCCCAGGGCTGTCTGTCACCCCGTGTCCCCTCAGCTGCAGCCCTGCCCTGAGGTCGCCGCCCATCCCGGCTCCTGGGCCGCGTCTCCTGTGCCCCCACGCTCCGCACGCCCCTGCCCCGCTCTCTGCAGCTCAGTCAGCGCCACCTGGGGCCACAGCTTCAAGGAGCAGGAGAGGGTGCCGCAGGGCCAAGTGCTTTTCTCCATGGAGAAAGACGTGTCCTCACAGACACCATGGAGACATGTGTTTTCCTAAGCGCCACTTACTTAGGAGGAAGAAAATAGTTTCCCACCACTCTCTGCATAGAACTCCATCATGAACCAAGTGCTCTATATTTGTGTGCAATGTCTCAATGTGTGCAGGGTCTCTATCTTGTCATCGCTGTCTCTATGGCGCCGTCAGTACCACACTATCTTCACTACTATGACTTCATTTGCTAAAGCAAGAGCTCCCATCATACTCTCAACATTTAAGCCTGTCTTCTCCAATGCTGGCTACTGGTTTTCCACGTCTAATTAGAACCAATAAAGTTCTGTGAAATACTTCCTGAGTGCAACGAATCTGTAGATCACTTTTTGGAGAATGAATACCTTAAAAATATTGTCTCTTCCAAACATGAATGTGCAATATCTTTACGATTCATACTTAGTTAT